CCAAGCAACCCTATCATGTCAAGCAACGACCAAGCAATCAACCAAGCAACCCAGCATACCAACCAACCAGGCAACCAAMCARCCATGCAACTAAGCAACCGACTATATAGTCAATCAAACAGCCAACCAATCAACCCCAATGCCAACCCTCTCATCCAAYCACCCACTAACTAAAGCAAGCAAGCGGCAATTCGCGATGACAGATAATTCCAGTTTACCCGTTATGTTGTGTAATGGTTGACATTTGCACTTTTCGATGAGGTAATCGTGCACACAYTGCTTCATGCATGCTCCGGGAGAATATGGATAACCAAAATAACTGCTGTATGCCAATTTAGGTGACTTGCAATCTGTCTTGAATGGATTCGCAAGATTCTTGAACTGTGAAAAGTTAATGTGCTTAATTAAACATTACGAAATTGTTTGAAACTACAGCACCCAGCTAATGGAAGGTTTTCATAATATTCTGCTCATTTAACTCTTATTAAGCGCTTCTCCTTCGCCCATCCTCGGGAACCCAGGGGTAATCTCTTTAACGAACTACAGAAGATTAGCCCTGGTTTCCCGAGGATGCTTTCTCCCTGTTCAATCTGCACACGAAGGTAAGCACCTTCCTTCTCCATAGCCTGGCTTCCCCGTCTACCCCTATTCTTCGTTTTCAAGTTACGTCACAGCGGCCATCTTGGAGGAACTTTAACAAAGGATTTCTCATTAGTATCTATTGTTCAGTCCTCCAACATGGCCGCCGGTCTTTTATCTTTTTAATCTCATGGGAATGGTTGATCAATACGTGAATACATGAGACACAGGGACTTAAAATTATAAGACCGCATATCTCTAGGATATCATATAAGCACTGTTTTGCTCATGCAAAACTTCCGTGCATATAGCGTGGGCGCAAACCGTATAGTCACAAAAATAATATTGCATTTATGCATTATTGTTTTGGATTTTGTCCATTGTTGCTGCTTTTTGAAAACGTCATAAACGCGTCAGTATTATCTCGCTTAAGTAACTGATTTATGAATTAATTGTCCTTTTGCAAGTCCATGTAAACTTTTAGAGACTTTGTTTGTGTGAATTTAGCGTTCCTATTGATCACTTTCAGCTCACTTGGACCTTATTTAYACATTTGTAATCTAATTTATTTTAAGAGAACAATTTAGCGCTATACGAGTCTTTTAACACTAATCCTTGCAGCTTAATTAAATTGAATAACTTAACTTAAAGAGACAATTATTATGGCAACTAAAAAGAAAACAAAAAACATGCATAATATACACACAGCTGCAGTGTGCAAATATTCGTATTTAATAAGCAAATAGTAACAAACAGAAAAATTAGTCTTTGTAAATACGACAGTAAACACAAAATTGACCCCAATTGTTACAATATCGGATTTCCATTTCAAAAGTTTTGTAAAGTTTCTCGGACAAGACAAAACTAAAATACTGGATTTACCTTGGTCACTGAAACACTTGCAAATGTGTGTGTACCAGGTTGTATAGCAAATCCAAGCTCGTCAACAATWGGGTATTCMGTTTGGTCGTGAATATGCACTTTAAAACCAGCCATARGGGAATCAAAGTTTGTAACGTGGTCTTCTTCTTCTACGTTGAGCTTTAGCCTCAGTCCCTGCGTTGGCCCGGGTATTTGCGGRTTTTCAAGCAAAGCATGGTCTTTATCGCCTGAATTAAAAGTGTAACATCGCCCCATTCTCAGGTTCGGTAATGACGTGAAATTTTGCGCCGTGCATTTTTGTCCTCGCCATTTGCATGCCCCTAGCCATTGAAACGATAACATTCCCTGTATGGTATGAGAGAAGCCCTCGACAACTTCACCAAACAGCGGACCTCTTTTGAGGTATTCTGGATTGGAGTCGTATAAAGCTTGCTTTGCTGATTCTAGGAGTTTATTTCCTTCTCCTCTGTAGGTCATCAACGACATAAAGGACATTATTTCGTAAGTTAATTCATCATCTGTAGTGTTCACCTTTCCCGTTTCATGTTGCCACTTGCGTTGAGCTTTGATGTACTGACTTAAGCTTATCATGTTTAAATTACATATAGTCACAGCTGGGAAATACTTGGTTTCAGATTCATTGAGTTCCACGGTTAGGGTAGTCGAAAATGGTTTAGCTATAAACGCGAGAATCGTCTTAGAAACCTGGCTACCGCAGAACCCAAACGCAACACACAACGCAGCAAACCAAAAYAGTTTTCTAATAATGTTTCTCCCCGCAAGATATCGAGCRCCGTGWAGACTTGTGCTTTCCATAAAATCTTTGAGATGTGTCTYATCAYCTTTTGSCGCTCCACAAACCATCTTGGAATCTGTTTTGTCTGTTTTGATTACAGTCTTAGAGCCAATGCCTGCATTTGAATTAGTAAATATAGTKGTGAGTCGTCATGGATTCGTGGTTATACTTGATTATAATACAAAGGTAATGSTTGAAAGAGTTTACGATGCTTTCTCGTATTAAAATGACGTAATTCACGTATTGATGCTATTGATTTGTGTCGCACGGAATAACGTCAGAATATATGATTCTTTCTAGCGTATGAAGGTTGGCTGCCGAAAATAATTATTACGTATGTTAATCTTAAGTATAAAATGGTCATTAAAATGGTCATTAACGGGGACCTATTTCAGTCTACGGAGCATGAATCGTCTTGATAGCTCAAAACAAAGCTTTGAACATGACTGAATCGTATAAAATCCCTTGAGCGTTAAAGCACGACGACCTATTCTTTTTATAAGCTAAAACAAATATCAGTGAAATTTACGGATTCCCTCCCCCCAGAAACCCTAAAAAGAAGATTTTAATTGAAATGAAATAATTGATTTGAATTAGTGCCAATATCAAAGCCTATTATTCCGCAATCTTTCAAGGACTTCAAGGCGTCGTGAGGTTTAACAAGAAAGAATACTTAGCCCTATTTTGAAAAAGTCACAACATGGTGCAAATGTCTCGGCAATAATGAGAAGAGAAGAAAAAAACGTTCTCATTTGAAACTCTTTCAGTAAACAACTTAGTATTTACCTTTCTTGACAAGTGCGCAAAAATCAATTAAAACATGGATTAAACGACTAAGGAAATCTCCAGCAGTATCGTCAATAACTTTGGCACCTGCGTCTGGAAACTTTCCAYTGCACTTCAGTGATAAAGAGCTTAACGAATAGCCGTTCAAATATTGTAAAAATTGGTGAAAACTTTCGAATTTGGTCGTGGTAACATGCGACGGCTCTATTGATTTTATGATTACGAGCAGATAACGCAGTTCTCACGAACGTAGTAACTTAGTCTCTGCTGCTTCCGAAGTATTCAAATCATAATAAACAGAAAAATCAATTATTGGAGAGACTTCCAACCAAGAACTTTTTTTCGTCATGGTGGGATTTTTACTCCACAATGCATATAATAGTCAATATTGTTTGCAWTATCATCAATATGCAGACAGCTTGACTCTTTTTTTACTTTGGATAGGAAGAAGGCCAATGACAAATAAACAAAGACGCGAAAAAAAGAGAATTAAATTAAAGATAAAGTCGATTTATTGGTGACTAGTAATTTAACATGAGGTTGCCGCATGCATTGAAAATATACTAGGATAACAAGCATTACGTCCGTTAAACTATGGAAAGCTGCTTCGGTGTTTGTAAAGAAACAGTTATGCGGTTAAGAAGACAAATCATACAAAGTAAAAGATAGAAAACTTACCGATGTTTCGATATAGCCTCTAATTAACTTTAAAGATAGTTTTCCATGAATAAACCGGCGGAGGTGGAAACGCAGGGCCTACTGCTGTTGTTCAACCGTTTCGTTGCTCAACGTCATTAGTTTTCTAGACMTCGACTCTTTTTACAGAAGGAATTAGAAACGTGTATTTCAGTTACCTTACAATGAGCGATGAATCTGATGATGGTCTCAGTGACGATGCTCCCAGGGTAGCTATTCAAAATCCTGCTCAGACCTGTTAAAGTAAACATTTATTTTATTTATATCATGGCCTCTTCAATTTATCACAAATTAAAATACACTGTATATACTGGAGGGCTTTCAAAATGCAATTTGTTCTGGAGATTTGTCATTGCTGTCAAATATAAAGACCAACACGAAGTGTTTCAAGAGTGTGGTGGTGTTACCAAGGGTTCTGGTTTGGGACCATTGACATCTATTCATAAAATACCTCATTGTATCTGCAATTGCAACCCTGTCACATGGAAAATCGACACTGCCAACTTCAAAAAATGAAGAAAGCTTATACTAGAATAAGGTGAAAGAAAGTAGGACGAAGAATCCCAAGAACCTCCTTATTAGATGTGGGATTCCTGTGTACTATTKATGTAGGTGCGCAATGCATTATTGGGTATATGCAGAAACTCACATTTATGTGTCTTCCATCTACTTCGAATCTACTTTTCTTCATATCTAGTCAAAAATGCATGCCTTTTTATTGTTATATCGAGCCTTCAAAGCGGAAGGTTTGGCCATAGAGCAGAGAAAGAAGGCTTGCCAATGGTAATTATTAGACAAACGACGTTTCTTGACATGCACTTTTCGAGTTTCAGACGTTTCAGGTCTCACTACTATTTTGTGTCTTGTACTAGGTGGGTGACAGGCCATGCTCCAGACGGTASAGTACAACATTATCTTGTGAAGATAAAAGATGCGTGAATTGGGCTTAAAATCCATGCACAGCAGAATTTTATGTGTGAAGTTTTGAAAAAAACTACGAAGAAGTGAGAAAGAAGCTCCCAGTGAACTAATAGTGTGCACAAAGTAAGCTTAAGTAAGCTTGCTGGTACTTGAAAAAAAGCTTGAGTAAAAGCAAGTTGTGATGTACCAAGTTTGAAAAATGGGCCTTTCTTCTCATCTACATGTATGGCTGTTAACATGGTTCTACAAGATAAACAAGTCACTATTTCCTTACTAATATTGTTTGCTATGGTTTATGCAGTGTAGCTAAAATCAAATGAGATTTATGGAAAGGAGGCTATGAAAGAGTTACCTTTGTATCARCCACTCTGAATCACTCAATCAAGGGACTGTTAGACCAGGATATTCAGTTGTCAGGACTCAAGATTAAAATTGTGAACAGTGAACAGGACGAAGAAGATGCCACAATGATGAAATCATTTCAGGAATTGTGTCTGTGAACAGGATAATTAGGGCTTTTTTGTTGCAACACTGGATGTAAACCAAGAGTGCAAACCAACAAGACAACAATAATTATAAAAATCTTTTAATAACAACATTCTATATTATAAACATGTTCACAAAATATATTATTATGGTGTTGTGTAATATAAACGTTTTATATATGATCTTTATAAAATTTTTGATATATAACGCGCACTCTGATTGGCTGACAACCGTGTTTATATCAGAGGACAGAGACCCGGCTTACCGGCAAGATTGTCTTTTCGCTCGAAAAATTTTATAAAAGAAATATAAAATGGCCGCTTGTGTCTCTGTCATCTGATATAAACACGGTGGGAGTTGAAAAACACTCGAGAAGCAAGAGAAACACTCGCTACGCTCGTGTTCCTAAGCTTGCTTCTCTCGTGTTTTTCGAACTCGCTACGCTCGTGTTCCTAAGCTTGCTTCTCTCGTGTTTTTCGAACTCCCACCGTGTTTATATCAGAGGACAGAGACACAAGCGGCCGTTTTACATTTCTTAAGTATATGAATGGAAAGTTAAATTACCTAGTTTTATCAAAATTATAGTGCCCTACATTGGTATATCCAGAATTTCCATCAGGGAGGGATGCAAGAGAGTAGGTTGCATACTTCCCTTGGATAGCCGTGCACTATGTTGTCATTTCTCATTTTACATAAATATTTTAATAGTTCACTATCATTTGCAGTCAAAGTTAATATACATGTGTAGAACTCTATAGGTGCTTAGATTAGGTGCTATATAACTATGAAACAAATGCATAGTTTGCATTCGCCATATCTACAAGATGGTTTCTAATAAATTGGTTCAAATGAGTGGAAATAACTGTTTCCTATCTTTAAATYATTTCAACTTTGTACAATTCCTTACAAGTTTTTCACAAATATGAAATGCAAACACTAGAACCATGAAATAGTTGACTCTCAATTATATAGTGCTAAATTGTACCTACTTATGCAAATTCCTTTGTTTTTTATTGCCTATTTCGCACTATTTAGCAGCATACACACTTTTAGTGTTTGCCTTATAAGGAATGCACTTTACTGCTATTTAGTATTGAATTTTAGTCTGCTAGCTTTATACAATATCTCTCTTTTTAAATTTTTGTTGACTTTTTGTTTAACATTGCACAAAAGAATTGACAAGCAGGTTTGTGAGAAATATAGTTTGTATTTTTATTTTTCCAAAGCTACATCTTCAGTTCTTTTGTGCATAACTATTCAACCAGAATATCGAAAGTTAGACTGATTCCATAATTYGTYCCTYRRTTTGTGACGAAAMTACAAAAACTCKAACAGAGAGCGAACTGGGATCAACTTATGAAATCAGTCTGATCGAAAGTAGGCTATCTGCACTGTTATTCTGGCAGTTGTCTCTTTGTCAGCATATTTTCTCCCTAAATCAAACAATCCTACTGTTCACTCAAGTACTGGAAGAGTTGGGATTTTGCTCAGTCTGCATAACAGTTGTTCCTGCATTTTGTGTTGCAACCATATCTATAGAATGCTGCTCATGACAGTTTAACTGTGTCTCATCATTCAGTGGATTTTCTACATGACATACATACGGAGGTGGTGCACCTTCATTGTCATTGGGGGGACCTAACTGTGGCATAGCTATAGCTTCTTCATATGAAGGAAGCTTAAATGTAGGTTCATTTTCTGTTGTGATTGTTGTTACTGTTGTACTGGTYCGTATAGGTGGCGTGGGGAAGAAGAAACTAGTCAAATGACTGTAAGGCCCAGCGTGGCTTCTTCTTCTGTAGTATGCACACGAACARCCAAGCAATATGATGATACACCAGATAAGCCAAAACCCTAGAAGTGAAAAAGGTATGTTCATTTGTAGCTTTTTTATACAATCATGTAACTATCATGGTTGCAGAGGTTTTCTTATTCTTTCACTTTTTTTTCACTTCTTCATGTTCCAGTATTGTAAAAAAAWTGGAAAAGAAAAAATGAATAAAATGGGATGGGAGTATGTTTTTGTTAAGTTGCCATTAGATTGCAACAAGTTGTCAATTATTTTTAAGACTTTAAGACTGCGAAAAACATTTATAATACTTACACCACATTTCATAATATCTATAGTAGGTACAGCACTTGAAATCCCCACAGCAATGGCCTGAAACATAAAAATTGGTGAATACAGGGTAACTAAATTGGTGGTGTTATTAGATATTTAAATGATCATGTCCGATTATTTTACAAAACAAACTTTATCTGCATCAAATAGACACTAAGAGAGCCAATAATATTTTTTTGGCTAACATCAAAGTTTGGTGAATAAGAATTGTGTTTGTTTTTATTAAGCTKTGAAATATGCTTTTGTTCTACTCTATTTAGCACTTTTTGCTTTGCCTTTCTGATTTATCGTATTTTTTTTAGTCTTTATTCACAGGTTAATTAAAAGCACTCTTAGTTCACCAAACAGTGTAATTTTAGATCCATTTCAAATCATTTTCAAAATATCACTGTAATGTGCCAGGAATATCATAACAAAGTCCTTATTGAATTACATATGTAGGCACAATTTAGTGGATTTTTGTACTTCCTCAGCAAGGATTAGCAGGGATTATATTACAATCAAAATTTCAAAGGGAATTAAAAAATACCTTGTAGAGAAAGAGCACAACTGAATTATAATTAATTAAAAAAATAATGTAATCATAAAAGATTGAAAAAAGGAAATATATTTTCTAAAGTGCGTGAAYAAAAAAGGATYATTTAGCAAATATTTCAATCCAAGAGTAGCASTGCACCTTTGTCRCAAAAAAATTCTTGGTCGCCATGTTTGCCACAATATTGGCCTGCCTGAAAACAATAACAAAGTATTATATAATCTTAGGAATGTTATGGGAGTTAATGTTTTGAACTTAAGGCAATTATGCTTATTATCAACTACAAAACCGTCAAAAATAACCAACCAACAAGTGTGAAACGCCCAGATATGGTATTAAGCTTATATTTCTGCTGACAGCTCCAGTCAAAAAAAAACTAAGCTTATAATCTCTCTTGAAATACATTCAAATTTGTACAAATTTGAGACATTGTCTGCTTGGAATATACTATAAGTCTACTAATCTGGTGATGTTAGAGAGAGTTTGACTATTAAAATCAAACATTCATTTTGATTATTTTTGAAATGAGCTTGCTTTGACAGATCGAAGCAGCTTTTCAATTTCGCTTGTAATTTAGGAAATSTAATCAGCTGATTTACATGTAATTTACATGTAAGATACAATAAATTCTGAAATTTGCCAGCGAGGTTGTGTTATGAATAAGCTTATATACAATGAAGGTTTGTAGCACCAGTTTAATAAMGAAGGATTTCYAATAACAAACGACTAAGTTTAGTASAAGTTCGAACGATTACCTGGGACTGGGCGAATGTAGYGACAAKGCAAAGGCAGAAGAAAACTTTTCCAATGTCCTTCATCTTTCCCTCGAGTACAATCGTGAATAAAACAGTGATATTGGTGRGRATGCTTTGTTTTTAGTGCAGAAGTTACCTCATTTCTGCAACAAAGCAGAACAGTTGTTGATGTAACACTGCTTTGGTGSAAAACAATGTCCCTTTTAGCCAATCAGAACTCCGTACTTTTCCGATTTGGTAAAAGCAGGCACAATCACCAGTCAAAAGTGCTGCTTTGCATCTTTTAAGATAAAATTGATGAMGTTCAGAAAACAAATATTTCAGAGAATCCATCAATMAAAATAGGACATTTTCCGGGCAAATTTCCACGAAAACCGGAAGTAAACATTTCTGGTTAGCTTGTCGGAAGTGACAATGCACCCCACTCTCCCCTCCCTATGGAAATTGTATTCTCGCACGTGTTTCCAAATAAGGAAAAGTTGCACCATTTCTGAAATTCACCGGGAACGTGGAAGTTTGTGTCAAAGATTTCTTTTTATTCTATTTAGTTATCTTGTATATTAGAGGCAAAACAAGTAAGAATACTCTTCCACCAAATCTTCTTAACATCTTTAGTATAAATTAGACTTGTTATATTTTGACATTTTGAGTTTTTTTCCACGTATTTTTAGAAGAACCGATATGTCAAGTTCAGCGTCTGGCGATGGAACAGAAGCTGCCGATAGGAATGTCGAAATATGGAAAATTAAGAAGTTAATCAAAAGTTTAGAAGCAGCCAGAGGGTGAGTTTAAGTGTTTTAAATGTGTTGTTGTTGTTCGTAAGTGTATATACGAAGAATTTAGATTGAAACGACGTATATTTTAAAGACTCTACTAGAGTTTGATCAAGAAATGTTCCTACTTCATACTCCCATACTAGTATACCCTGGTATTTTTTTCTAATGATTTTTCTTTTGTGTTGAATGGTTATTTAAATGTGCTTGCTTGTTCAAAGAAAACTTTCAAAAAATATTGCTCTATATTAATGTAGATACAACTCACTGTTGAATTAATTATTATGACTTTCTTRATTGAATGGATGGATGAATGAAAAGATGAACAAATATAAATTGGAAATTGATATAGGTGCCCCAAACCAAAGAATCAATTTGTGTAGACCCAATTATACGCCGATGGTTGATTCCATGTGAAACTAAATTTGTGGAATTTTATACAATATGCTTTATTTTCTTAGGAATGGGACTAGCATGATTTCCCTTATAATACCACCTAAGGATCAAGTATCCAGAGTWGCTAAGATGTTGGCAGATGAATTTGGCACAGCCTCAAACATCAAAAGTAGAGTTAACAGACTGTCAGTACTCAGTGCAATCACATCTGTACAACAAAGGCTCAAATTATACTCCAAAGGTGAGAGCTTGCCTTTTTCTATCGCTGCTTTTCATTTGCAGTTACTGTTGGCATGTTGGCGAGTCATCACTTTGATTGGTGGAGAAAAAAATGGACAACAGACAATAGATGCTCGTCCAACGTAACCAACATTAKAAGTTCAGTACTAAACTCTGGTAGATTTGCACAATAGATTTCTTGTTTAGTTTCTGTTGTTTATACTACCAAAATAGCTGCCAATCTTCTGTCTTTTGAATGTCAAGGAATTCATTTTAACCAGATATGTGTCCACATATTCTTTGGCATGTAAGTGAAGTAATCATTTCTAATTTCATGTTGTTTATTTTTAGTTCCAACCAATGGTCTTGTCGTTTATTGTGGTACCATTGTCACTGATGACGGCAAGGAAAAGAAAGTTAATATYGACTTTGAACCCTTTAAGCCAATCAACACTTCCTTGTATCTCTGCGATAACAAATTTCATACAGAGGTACACTTTATTTATTATAAATATTCATTGTTTTTCTGATTACTTATTTCCAATATTTAAATGCTTCTCTGATTAAGTAGAATTTGTGTGTTGTTATTGTTGCAGTATTAAGTTGCCACTCTCCCTTGTTTCATTCCATTTATTGTATTTGTGTACAGTTACCTTTCCTACTGCAACCACCTTCCTCCAGATTTCAGATTACAAACTGCACAATAACATTGATTGCATGTTCTTTTCAAATGACCTTCCCTARGTTCTACATGTGTAATCTGATTGCTCATTCTCTCCCCGGATTCACTCATAAGAGATCTTTTCAACACTTGAAGATGAAATTGCTATCTCTGTAGGCTCATGTACTATCCTCTATATGTGTATGTAATATAGTGAATGTTTTCCACAGGCTTTAAATGCTCTATTAGCTGATGATAAYAAGTTTGGGTTTATTGTTATGGATGGTAATGGAGCTTTATTTGGTATTCTTTGTGGGAACACCAGAGAAGTRCTACACAAATTCACTGTTGATCTCCCTAAAAAGCATGGTAAGCTTAAGCAATCWCTCAKTTGTGTGGGGCAAAATTGTATAAAATCATTTAAAATCACTGTCACTTATTGTGATTTTAATGCATTTTAAGGTCGTGGTGGACAGTCTGCTCTWCGTTTTGCACGTTTAAGAATGGAAAAGCGTCATAATTATGTTCGTAAAGTGGCAGAAACAGCCGTTCAACTGTACATTTCTAATGATAAGGTATTCACATTATTATTTATATCAGGTAATRATAACTAGGATAGAAAATAAGCATTCAAAAAATTTTCTTTTCTATTTTTCAGCCAAATATAACAGGACTCATATTAGCAGGATCAGCAGACTTCAAATCGGAACTGAGTCAATCCGATATGTTTGATGGTGTAAGTTTGACTACATTCATTACTGAAAAATGTTAATGAGTTGTCCATTGTAGTAAATACCTCTCTAGATGCTTATTTTCTAATATAATTATACTCACGGCAGCAGTTCCCCATGTACATTGAGTKTTTGATACATGGTTTTAATGTTGCCAAGATCAATATTGTGGACATGACTCCATTCTGAACTACTTCACCACCCACTGGTAGTCCTACTGAGACTGTTAAACCATACAGTGGTGTGTTTTGCTAGCTCAGACATTTACATGATAACACCTGCTGCAAAGAATATTTTCCATGGCAATAATTCATGATTAACGCCTTTTTACTTCTTTTCTTTTGAAAACAGCGTCTTCAAGCCAAAGTTTTAAAACTGGTTGATGTTTCTTATGGAGGGGAAAATGGATTTAATCAGGTACAAACATCATTACTGTATTAGAARTGTGTCAACGTGCATTTTTATACTCGATATATAATACKGTRTGTACTGATAGGCAAAACTCTCACCTGAAACTAGTCAGCTAGAGTTCAYTTGATGAATTATCAATGCAAACCAAGGACATCTTCAATTTGATGGTAATGTTATTGTTTTGCAGGCTATAGAGCTGGCATCTGAAGTCTTAGCTAATGTCAAGTTTATCCAGGAAAAGAAATTAATAGGAAAATATTTTGATGAAATTTCACAAGATACTGGAAAATACTGCTTTGGTGTTGAAGATACACTCAAGGTAGATCAATGATGATGATACATTTAGCCTTACTAACTACATGGTCAGATATTTATGGTCTTGTTCTTGTTTTTAGGGTTTAGAAATGGGTGCTGTAGATACCCTGATAGTCTGGGAAAACCTTGACATTCAAAGAATTGTACTTAGAAATCACCAGTCAGACGGTAAGCTCTCCCCTTCTATCCCTGACATTCAGGCTTGCAGTACAGCAATAATTTATTCTCAATCAACTTTATTGTTTGATGGAATGTATGACTGCAGGGTTGAATGAATGAACAATATAAAGAAAATGGAAGGGAGAAGATTAAAAGGAGTGTATGAGTCAACTATMAAAGATTTGAAAATCAATTGCACTATTTCATGATGAGGTCACAGTGCTCAAAAACAGTTTGGGGCTATTTAYATTCCCTCCAAAAAAAGAACTTCAATATYTTGTGTTTTGATGTATGTAGTGCATCAAAGATTGATGCAAMCATAATCCTTAGCKTAAAACAATAGAATGTTTCGATGTGAYRTCATAATGCAATAGGGCAAAACATGGAACATTTATTCATGTTTATATGATTGTTTTTATATAGTTGATAAGGTTTTACATYTGAACCATGAACAAGAAAAAGACAAGACCCATTTCATAGATAGTGAGGTGAGTTTACTGCRTACAGTGTGAACTGACATTCCTAGAATTCAAAATGTTATGTTTTTTTTTCCAGAGCGGTGTTGAGCTAGAACTTGTTGAGAAAAATCCACTTCTAGAGTGGCTTGCAAATAATTATAAATCATTTGGTAAGTATTTATTTATTTTAAGTTAAACAACAGGCATTGAAGCTTCTCCATGCCATTTTTATATTCATTTCTTCTTTTCACATTCTCCTTCTAGATTGTTTCCTCTTCTCCCACCTTTTATTCTTGAATTCTCCTCTGTTTTTTCACTCTTGCTCTTTTCTTACATCTCTTTTTTAAATGTTCATATCCTTAAAACCCCTCTCTCCTGTGTATTCCCTCTCCCTTGAATTCCTTTTTTTGCTTTTTTATCCTTTTCTCCCATCTCTTTGCTCTCATTGAAGTCCTCCTTTTCCATTCTTTCCATCTCTTCCCTGGATAACGGCTGATTTACCAACCAAAATGTTTTCATATATCAGGTGCAACCCTAGAAATTATCACAGACAGATCCCAAGAAGGTGCTCAATTTTGTAAAGGATTTGGTGGAATTGGAGGTAGGTTACACTTAACTGTCATATATTATTTTGTACATGTAACACTTGTCTACATGATTTTGATAACTATTTTGTCTTTAATGCATAGGTATCCTGAGATACAGAGTCGATTTCCAGGGAATGGAATACTTGGGTGACCCACTTGATGACTATGATGATGAAGAATACTAAWTAGACCATGCTCATTATTGAACATTATATTAGTCAAACTTGCATTACAAATACCACATTGGTCAAATGCTAGACASCTGCAGAAGTTTTTATTTCTTTGTTTATATTTGAACACCACATATTAGAGCACTGGTGACTGTTAGCTTTGAGTGGAATCTTAAATAGACCTAATCGGCTAGCGGCGTTGCTATTTACGTTGCCACCCAATTCAAATCCTATGGGAAAAAGAACTTTTGTTTCTAAGAATTCAACTGTGAAATGAAAATACAACGAGCAATGAAACTTACTCTTGGGTGGTTTGAATTGGGTTGAAGCCGATTAGGTCTATTGATGTTTTCTTGTTAGTAWACACAGTTCAATAGGATGGGAAATGAAAAAAAGAAATGTTTTGGTGATGCTGGTATTGCTTCCCATTTAGATGGAATCCACTACATTTATTAGCATTCACTGGACGAGAAGCAACACCAAAAGCATTCCTAATTGTCTACATTAGTTAGCTTGTTGAAGTCATTCAAAACTTATCTAAAAAAAAGCTTTGTGAAAAGCACTATACTTCATCTACCTGTAGCATGCATGCATCAATAATAATCTGCTTGCACTAAACCTATTAAGATTGCAGATAGAATGGTTGACTGTATAAGTTCACATATATGCATCACTAATGTGATGAAGATTTTGTTTCTGCCTATTGTAGTAGTAGTGTGAACGGATCTAAATTCCAAGTGTTATATATCTGACAATAACAGTACCTTAAATTCTAATCCAATGAAATGATGAAAATAAAAGCACTCAACAGTAAATCACATTTTTAATAGTGTTTGTTTGATTCATGTACAAATTGAAGTCTGCAGTATAACACTAGAGTGGTTTTCTGTCAACCATGAAAAGAAATAGACCAACTAGTTGGTAGCAATGAGTACTAGACTAGTCAATATAACTTTTAGACATATAAACTATAAACGAATAGCTAACAAACAACAGTTTGAATAAATTTAATAAACGTTTAGTTACCATAACAAAAAAGACCATTAAAATAAAATAAAAACTTGTTTTTGTGATGAATATGTTTATACCTATCAATTAGATACAACCTAGACTATTGGTATTGGTCTATTACAAACTACTACTAACTATTAGACTTATTGTGCTTTCATGGTTGATGGAAAACCACTATTACTTTCATCTAAGCATGATGTGAGTCCCAGTATCATTTTTTCATTTCTAAGCCATATTTTTTTTGCTTTTCCTTTACAAAAACAGAAGCAGTTTTACCGCTTAATAATGTGAATATTAATCTGATTCAAATCGTCATTGAACAATTAAGGCTTCACAGAGTACTTTTAAAATCTAAAACAACCATTTTTCATAAATGAAGATAATATTTTTGTTTACATGCAATAATTTTAGATCATTTATGCAAAAGTCTTGTTTCTTGCAAAAAAATCTTTGAGCATTATTTGTTAAAAAGATAACTTCAACGGAAATAATTTTCTGTGGAGCACAGCGAGGGAAAAATCTAGTCTCTAGTCTCTAGTAGTAGTTCAATGGTTACCTGTAGTGTCTGTAGTCAAATCTGATAAGACGTGACACGACTGAACGCTCGGCGCTCGGAAAGCGTCTATTTTTGGTCTTCCTGTGTTTCTTGTGGTAAGAGGAGACTAAGTTCGACAGCTATGTGAAAAACACACGCAACTGAATGTTGATTATTTTCAGGGAGTTTTTCTCACAAAATATTGCCTCTAACTCCACATTTCCAAGGTTATTAGTGAGAACAATATTTGAATTATCAAGAAGACTTTTACCAAGAGCTGGTTGCCTTCCGTGCCGTGCTGTATTTATTTCTGAAATGTCCACGTGCTCAGATTCAGATCGGAGCAATGGCGACCACTTCAATGGTTCTTCTAACTTGAAAAGACAGCTCGATCAAGAAGAYGAGAACGGAAAAATTCACCAGGAAAAGAAAATAAAGACTGAATCACTAGAAGGCGTGATATCTGAGCGTGAARATAACGCACTGKCYACGCAAACATTGGAAAATATAAGTCAGGATGTAGGACAACTTGAGAACTTAGGAGATAAAACCGCTCAAGGAGAAAAAGAATTAGTCGAAAGCGATAATGTAGAGGTATTTATCCTTTTAGATTATAAAGATTTATGAAGGATGTTGAAGGTKAAGGTTGTTGACAGGATTGCTCTTGGTTATGTAATGTTTGTTTTCTTTGACTTTTATACTTSAAATCTTATGTCTAAGCTTATTTGTTTTGGTGCATTTTTATACTTTTAAGGCTAAGACCGAGACAGACCAAACAAGTGTTGAGACTGAGTCAGAACGAGTAAGAGAAAACAATCTTCCAAGAAAAAGGAAGTGTGCTCTGCTGTTGTCGTATTGTGGCRCTGGTTATAATGGCATGCAAATGTAAGTTAGCGTAAACWGTTGTCATGTGTTGCTTTTATGCAAGTGGTCCCTTYGCGATTGCCTGTGCCATCTGGAAATATAAACAGACATTTACATTGAATTGAGACTGCTATTGACCTTGCAATAACAAGTACCTGTAAATAGTGTTGTCTGTAGATGCAAAAAGGTTCTAATAGTCTTCTTCACGGTTCCCTGTGGCATCTTGAAAGGTAGCCTAGTGAGTCATGACGACCTTTGAGCGTGTAATGATAGAAACCTTCTTTCACACCTACAGACAATTATTCACAGGGTATCTATCATTGCATGCTCAACGGTTGTCTCGGTACAGCTACCTTTCAAGATGGCGCAGTTAACTGTGAAGGAGACTATTGTACCCTCTCCTTCATATCACCTCAATGCAAAGGCTCAGATACATTTAAAGATGGCAGAAGGAACAGTGAAGGCCCAATTAAAACTTATACCCCTTCCTCCAAATGTCCAGGGATGGTGTCGACGTGGTTTCATACCTAGTTCAGGAATCGATCTTTCTTTTTTGCAGGAATCCAGGTGTTAATACAATAGAAGAGGAACTTGTAAATGCATTATATAAAGCTGGTGCTATCACGCTAGATTGTAAAACAAATCCTAGAAAGGTAAGGAGCTTATCAATGCTTAAATATCATTTTTCCGTACCAGCGGACCTGCAGTGTTAACAGCTCTCCATACACGTAGAAATTGGATCTTTGTGTGTATATATTTTACTGTGTCTTTGTCAGATGTCATTTCAACGAAGTGCACGGACTGACAAAGGTGTCTCTGCTGCAAAGCAAGTGGTTTCACTCAAGATAAGTATTACAGTAGTCAAAAAACACATACAACATGTACATACACCGTATGGCCCTTTTATAAAGTGATTTGTGCAGCACCGTCTACATACCATATTTATTGTTAGACTACAGGTATGTATCTGGATCTAATTTAATAAATAACTTGGCATTTTTGYGTTCCATTACATGATACCAGCCAAGAGTCTTTTACCAAAGATAAATGAATACCTTCCACCTGAAATCAGAGTATTTGGTAAGTGTACAATCATTGTCTTGGACACATAGCTAGGACATTAATCTTGTTTTGTTGATGAATATTAACCTCAATATCATCTTTATTGCAATAATGTCATCATCATTGAAACTTAAAATTGGGAAAACTTTCTGATTGTCAYGCTAATGATTTTTGTGCACTYTCTGATTCTGTTAGAAATGGTTAAAACAACTAAAGGATTYGACTCAAAGCTTAACTGCTCAGCAAGAACTTATGAATATCTCCTTCCAACGTTTGCTTTTGCCAAAGATTATGTAAGTTTATCAATTGTAATCTAGGATCATAATACATGTATGTACATTAAACATACTTGTAGATGCATACATGTACGTACATGAGAAGCCATGTACAATCGTCCCCTAGCTCTCCTCTCGTGTATGAGGCAGTTGTTGGGAACTGTTRCATACAGATCTGTGATCTACATTTCTAATAATTGT